AGAGTAATTGATAAAACAGCTAGTAAATCAGTAAAACATGATAATACACGATAAATTCACTATTCCAACAGAAAAGTAAGAAATATAAATTCTACCGTTTCAATTCTCAAGCAAAGTTAATAACAGATCTTTCTGAAATTTATAAACTTGCTCCTCTGACAACTCGATAAATTTCACGCCACCACCAAGCAATATATTGGCTGTTTCCGGGACAGTATATACCTTCCATCCAATTTCCTCGAAAAAATGTCCGAAGACGCTCCTAAAAACCATTGCACAAATGCATAGTAGTAATTAAGAAACAACAGTCAAGTTGTGTTAATGATGAAGGAACAATTCAGGAGAACGAGGAAGTATGACTCAAAGAAACAAATAGCTAGGAAGCCAAAATAAATCTTTCAGCTGTTTGGGTTAAATTGTGTGTTTTTATTTATAAAGTATCAAGTGACTTTCCAAAATAATATTATAATCCTATATTTTTCAAACCAAAAAATAACTGTAAATCAAAAATCAAACATCTCACTTGTCCTGTGGTTTTTCCACCACAGGGACCACCTGTAAGGACAATTTTATAGATACGACGTTTTTCAACATGTGGATCTGGTTCGACCATTCCGAATGTTCCGTTTCGTGTGCAAATCGTTGGTGACGTCTGAGTTATCGTGATGCTCTATGAGAATAGATCACAACAAATGTCAAATAAATTGCGATTTAACCATTAATTATAATAAACGGCAGTGATAAGTGCGTAGGAATCGAAATAAAAGATACCACACATATTTTCACACCAATGATAGAGAATGAACGGAATTAATAAATTAAATTCAACAGTTGACATATGCGCTTGTAAGTCATACATGTCTCCATGTGTACTATTTACTCTTCGATATAAGCACGCATTCACGCTATTATAATCGATTTTTCCTTTCATATTTTTTTTCCAACGTAATATGAATTGCACTATGACTGCAGCTGCTGTCGTAAGATGACCGAAAATTTTTCTATAATACAGTATTGGACACTAGCGCCATCGACGGAATCCTTTGATCGTCCCAACGAAGTAGGAACAGTGTGACAGAAACCACAAATTGATGAAGAGACTAATCTTTTTCTTCTCTCTCCGTATGCACGAATTTTATATGCCTTCAATTCTTGGGAAAGATTTGGTGGAGGAATGGCGCTATTGGAGATGAAGTCAAAGGTTACTGCTTCCGGAGTATTGTAGGGGCAAATTTCTCGAAGTAGAGAAATATATAAAGGGAAAGTTGGGAGGGAAGAAAGATAAAGTAAGAAATTTGAATATTAACTGTTTTTTTGTCAGATTGAAACAAAAAACTTAGTTTCAGTTTGAATAAATTTTTTGAGATTGATTAAAAACCAATTTGATTTTGATATTCTGCAAATTTAAATGAGATTTTTTCCAGAAAACTTAAAAGAGAACTTTAAAAATTTTAAAGAGGAACTTTTTTCTATGTTTTGTAATATTTTCGTTGTATTGGCATTGATTTCCCTTAGTATGTATGCACAATACTTCAAACGGTTTTTTCTTTCGGAAACAGATTTTTAGTATCATCTATCAAACTACTTCGTCTTGATCATTCCTCTGACAGTCAAATTTTACATAAATTTTGTATTTCACAGAAAAACGATTGGATAAATTGTTGAGCATAATTAATCCGAAATTGAAAAACAAAAAATAAAAAATGGTTTAGAGAATTCAAAGAAAATTCGAACTTGAGTTTATTTAAAAGTCAGCGTTTCTCTGAATAAATTCGAATTTGAGTGTTTTCAACAGTGTAGGACTTAGATCTAATCTTTCAATCAAAATTCTTCAAGTTTATAAATATAATTTCATAATGGGAAAAAACATAAAGGGTACTACAATGAATAAACAGAATGAAATATGGTACGGTAATTGTGCAAGAATAGAAGAAATGTGGTTAAAAGAATTGAAAGTTGTGATCAATTTATACTGTCACTTTACAAAATTTCATGCACATTAATATGGAAGAAGTGATCTTTGCTTTCTAAATTGCTTACGTTTCTCTCCATAAATTGTTTACATTTAAGGCATGATCTTTGTCCCGATAACTTTTGACAAGGTTATTTGATGAATTGCTCATTTGCTTTAATGATTTCCGAACAAATAGCACAATGTGATCGTTTCCCACTCTTTTTTTCTTTTTCTTTTTATAAACATTTTGCAATCAACGATTAGTGTTACAAGATGTGCAGTCAATTTTGCAGAATGTTTTTTACTTGAATATTTGCAACATTTTATATCAAAATTATCGTATACTAATGAGTGCGCAAAAAATGTAAAATGAATATTCCTGAAGGTAAATGTTTTTTTTTTATGTAACACTGTTATAGTTTTATGATTTCCATTATAGTTATACGGTCACTATAGTTATATGGCCAGCCGATGTAGTGGACATAAGGAACGAAGCAGAAAAAGAAAAAGAAAAAAAAAATAATCCGAAAAATTATGACTGAGAAGAAATCTTATGAACGAATCAAAATTTAAAATGAAATTATTGTAAGGGAAAAAAAATGAAAGGAAAAGAAAACAACCAAATATAGGATAAGTTATGAATGATAAATAAATTAGAGAAAAGATACAGATCGTTAAAATAGTGTGTAATTGCTATTCAAGAGTGGAAAAATAAAGCGTGTGATAGTTAGTAACAGGATATGATGAAGAAGAGTGCTCCCAGAATGATATCAATACGGAGATATGTTTCCATGGCAAGCAAATTAATTATAAATGATGGATAGGCAGTATTTGAAGAGGTGGAAGTTAAAGAAATGTACTTAGACGACGATCAATAAATTGCATGACGTGAGTTAAAATGAAAGTACAATAAATTTTGCAAATTATAATTGCTTCTTTACAACAATAAAAATTTTAACATATAGATAAAATATATATATTTAGTTAAATATGTTCACCATTCTTGTATCGAAACAGTTTCATAAACATGTGCTTCAAATGTTAAGCAATAATTTTAATTTCTTTTTAACTAGCTAAAACTTAGTGGGAGTGAATGAAATTAGAAGAGAACGAATTAAATTACGATGAAAGTCAAGTTGAATGAATTGGAATTAAACAATATGTAAATTGCAAAAGATGGAATAAAGATGAAGTTTACATATTTCAGATGTCAAAGTTTCAAAAAAAAAAAAGAAAAAACGGGAATAATAGAAACAGCGAATGATTTTTTTTCGATGAGTGGAACTGATTAATTTGTTTGAAAATGTAACAATTTGTTCTGCTTATGTTTAAAGCGTAACTGAAGAGGAATTAAAATTACAATTTCAATCAAATACAATAATTAAATTCTGATTTAAGAAAGACAAATTTTAGTCGGATTGTACTGGAAAAACAAACAAATAAAATTAAAATAATTAGATGAGATCAATAAATAAAACTAAACTGAATTAAAATAAATATAAAAATTGTACAAGTTGAAAGGGATTACTTTTTTTCTAAGTTAGTTGACTAATATTACATGCAAGTAAATGCAATCAGATTCAATAAAATGAAAAAAAAAAAATAATAAGAGAAATGAACCAACTAACTGCTTGAGTTGTATTAGAATTTCTGTTGTTCACAAATCTCTTCTTCATCTATCTTACAAATCTTTTTATCTTTTTTGATGTCTTTGAGATTTAGAAAAGACGGAAAAAGAAACAGAAAATTCAGGAAAAAAAAGAACCGCTGTTAACTATTTATTATCAGCCTTACTAATTTCTATCCATTCATTTCTCCCAACCAAATAATTTATTTTGTAACTTTCTAATTTTATATTATCCGTTACTATATCATACTATTATAGTATCATATCATTACAATACCATTTCATATTGTTATTCTAGTATCAAATTAATAAATAATATATTGTAATCATTAGCTGATATTACATCATGATATTTTCAATTATGAAGTTAATTTGATGCATTTGATAACGGACAATTATGATGTTATGATTTGATAAGGTTAAATATCTTATTCCATCATCCCCAGTAATTTTTCTTTCTAATTTACTAAAATATAACCTGATGATAATCACACAGTTACGACAACTATGTTAATCTTGCTGAGTAATTCATTATTTAGGATTATTGTTATTTTCCTTAGTAAATGTAAATAATTTACTTCTTACCTGTTGACCTAATAACGATGCATGCATGTAACGGTAGCCTGATTAGAACATAAAATTCTTCCAACCTCAAGTTATTACGAATTTTAGTTGTTGCTTTGAAATACATATATTTCTGGATTTAAGAAAAGTTCGAGTCCTAAAAATCCTTTTCATTGAATCAAAAAGCTATATTTTTGGATTTAAGAAGAGATTCGATTTCAAAAATTTGTATCACTTAATCAAGAAAATAATGAACCTTAGAAGATAAATGCTCATTACTTATCTAACGCTCAATGCTTAATGCAAGGTTTCAATCTGATTATTTCAGTTCTGCAAAGGTAAAGCGGAAATCTTCTCGCTGATCATCGATTATACATTAATTTTGAAACGAAAGTTTACATTGCCGCTCAATCTTTCTGCTTAGTACTTTGTTGAATATGATAATATGACGTAACTACTACCGACTTTAGTGTCAGGGATGCTAATACTTCAAATCCTTCACTGTAGGGCAGTCTATATCAAGATTGTTCCAAATTCTTCAACAGTATTATCAGGTACTTTGGAATATTACCAAATACTATAATGAAATGGTCTTTTATTAGTATGAATTCTGTTTGTAAGTGAACGTCTTATCAATGTAACAGCAGTAGGGATCCATATCTTCAGATGGCAAAAAAAATGCATCACGTAAGGCGTATTTATATGTGGGTATCTCAGAAGAACAGAACTGCAAAGTGCTAATATTTACTTGACTTTTTTTTGCTCAGAAAAACAATTAAGAGTCATATACTCCATTTCATATATCACAGCAAACAACGTAACTAAACAGTAAAGTTTAATAAATGATAAAAAGACTGTTATGTTGGGTGAAATTGCAAAATAGTTCGGAATGAAAGACGAATGCAGTCTAGATACGGACTGCATACCAACATGTATTTTGTTTGCTGTCTTTAGGATGAGAACCATCCATCTCTCTCAAAAAACAATAAGAGGGAATTTGCAAGCTGGAAGAAATATTTCATTTTTTCCTTGTATGCCGTAATAGTGGACTTTTGCAACATAACTAATGTGCCTCAAACTTTATATTAGCAACTGGAGGCATAGGTGGTGGCCCCATGGAAACACCTTGATGAACATTCATATTATTTACTTGAAGACCACCATGAGAATGTGATTGCATCATAGCGGCACCCGATGATTGTGGACCTGGATTGGGACGCGGAATTTTTTGTAGAATCGCTACGAGTTGCTCCTTTTCATCAAAAGTTTTCCATATGCTATATAAATTTATAATGATTTTCTGGATTTCCAATACCTAAAATAAAGTCTGGAAGTCATATGCAGCATACGTGGATTAACGTTTTAATAAATATGGAATAATACATTTAAGTCTACTAGACTTCTTATCAAGTCTTGAGTTATGCTATACAATCTGAAAGTTTCTGGTGCTGCGGGATGTCGTGCATCTTCCACTGGAATAATTTCACCCTTAAAATTGTTGATCTTGCTACTTGTACAGTCGACTGCCAGCCAAAAAAAAGTGGAGATTTAAATTTCTCAGATCAGTCCAGAAATTCCCACAAGAAATACAATAACTAGAAATCCTGACTAAAAATTGCGAAATTAAACTGAACATAAAAAATAATGCTTTCAAATAAATGTGGTAGAGAGAATAAGTATTCACCTTTTCAAAATCCACCGCAAGCATGGCAAACCAGCTTTTCAGCTCCCTATCTCTATTTGTCCAAACTGATGCTATCAAAATGCATGCTAAAAATAATTGTTCGGAACTTTGTCAGTATTTATGTGCTTTGATTAACTTTTCATGCTTGCATTTTCGTAAGGGATGGAAGATAGATTTGCATGCCAAGTTTATTTCAGATTATCCACAAAACTTGCAGCTTTTTCCCATTTTTAGTCCTATCTGAGGGAAAATCCACTATTTTCAAAATACTGCAGAGTGGACAGCTACTAGCCCCTCACAGCAAACACATGAACTCATATCTTTACTGCAGTATAATCTGAAATGTATTTTATTACATAGAAATTTTCTGGATGCGAAATGAAATTTACCAATTGCAATCTGATGAGGAGGATACATTAATGAAAGGTCCGTCCTTGTACAATCATTACATATTTTCCAAGCATATGATGATATAGTATCGAGATCCTTATGCTCCCTTCCCATTTCAGCCATCAACTGATTCAACGGTCTGTAAATGATGCCCTCAAATTTTTTAAATCGTCACAGTTTTTAGCACAAAATCCGAAATATTTGAGGATTTTCCAAATATGTGTTTGTAATCAAACTTTCTTAATGGAAAAGCAAAGTCTCTAAAAACCGTAATTCTCAAAAACGCGCTAAATTTGCATGTAAGTTGCATCTTAACTTCGCCATTCCATATGAACTAACTACACAATTGCATAACTTGGTTATTGTGGGTCATACAGAAAACTTCATTGAAGACAATTTTACTATTCATGCTTTCCACAGCATTACAGAAGTATAGGTAAGAATAAACCTGTATGGGTGATAAACAATTAGGCAACAATCTAAAATTTCCAAAAGGAAGAATTCTGCTTCCTGTATATGTTGAACTCGTATCATCAAATCTTGCTGTATGAAGGGCCACCGTTTCACTGCAATTGCAAAATTTTATAACAAAACAAAGAAAAGAGTTTCGATTGGTAAATGCAATTTATGTGATGGAAAGAATCTATTCGATTTGTATGTCCATGTTTTTTATCGTATTCGCTGCTTAGAACAGCGGAAAATATTCTTCTCAATTCACAGAAATATATACATAACATTATTAGCTATATCATTAAAGGATAATTGCTAATGGTAATTATGACGAAATAATCAAGTCGAAATCATTTTCATCCATTCAAAGACAAATAAGTTTGCATTAAGAAATCAGTGCAGGTAAGCATATTTACATGTAGATTTGTCTCCTAATTTTGATCTTCCGGTATTATTTTTGATTATCCTTTAACAAAAAAAAATCCTCTGGTTCATCCATTCTGTGCATCAAGAAAAAAATCTAAATCACCTTTGTTATAATAGATGACCAGGAAAATTTTTAAGGACTTCAATAACTTACAAGCATTATTTGTGGCCTGTATGAGCTTATTGTGTGACATCATTCCGTGTTCTTCAACTTTAGATGCTAGAAACAAGGAAGTGGGCGCCAACAAAAACGGATCAATATCTTTCAGTGATCGTCTAAAATAAAAATAAATGTGATAGAGTTTCATCGGGACGCTGAACAATTCCTACATCCGAAAACACAAAAAAGCTGGAAAAAATTTCATTCCCTAATCTTTGTAGTTCATTTTGGGAAATTTTACGAAATTTTATTACCTCGCATAAAAACGACGAAAATAAACACAAGCTGTGGCAATCACTTGCATCCGTGTTTTATGAGGTTGCTGCGAATCCATTCCAATGGTATGTATAACTGGAAAGCATTTTTAAATTCATAAAGACGAAAAAAATACTGTAAGTATAACCTCACGACTACGAAGTTCTTTCATGAGATGCGTGTTTTGGAGCAGAACGTACATCAGTGACAATTTCAATACCGATAAACGAATAATATTATTCATATTACTTACAATTGCAGAAAAATATCATCAACTTCGTATATTCTTCTTCCGTAATACATTTCATATCTTCGCCACGCATCCGTAGAATATCCTGCTTGTCTAAAATCCACTGTTCCCTAAAATTTTTCTCCTCATACCCAATTCAATGATATATTTCATCAATAACGAATGTTAAAAAGAAAATGTTGCATAATGATGATATACATATAACTGCCTTATGATATATAGTAAGTATAAACTGCTTATGATGAAAATGTCGCAAGCAGTATAGTTGTACATCTAAATCTACATGATGAACTTGCAGATACAGACATAAATTACAAATTGTACAAACCAATGTGAACTTTGCCAGAAATTTCCCGCCATTTTAACGTATAATTTGTATCCAGCTTTCACTGCTCATAACTTTAGCATCTAAAATTATATATTAGTATCTGATCAAAGTCATTATTTTCATACATTCTAATCATAAATATTACTTTATGGATCACATGAATAATATATACATATCTGGAATTTACGTAAGTGAATGCTTATATCAATGTATACGTGTATTTATCTGGATAATGAAGTGAATATATGTGCACATGAAAATAACGTCGTAAACATATTACTAACACTTGAACTAATATCCATCCTGAGAAATTTTACTTATGCAAAACCTCCCATCATTACATTCTTATTGAATTTGTTAGGTTATTATTAAACAATAAACACCAAACACGGTTAGTTATAGGTATGATACGGTACCACTAAGATCACATCCACAAACAGATCATACGGCAACTATTTCATGAGTACTTATCCCCTTCACGCATAATTTACATGGACAAATTACTTTCAATATCTGTAACCACATTGAACCATAATCCTTCCATCATCCTCTCATTCTTTATGCGATACATATCTTGAGAATTTTGAACATCTCTGCAGTCTCTGTTTTCGTGCAATCTCCAACCATGCCCCTCTTTTCTCTAGCAATCCATTGTTTCGCATCTCTTTCGTATAGGATTCAATCGCTGGGCATCATCTCTACACTCTCCATGAAATTCATAGTCTCATAGGGCAATCAACTCGTGAGTGGTATTTTATAATTGCTTAACACGAATTACTTTACCTGGCCATAACAATCTAGTAATAATGTTGATTTCAGTAAAGATATTAGGAATACTAGTGGAGTTCTAAATAACTGTGTGTCACTTTGAGATCTCTTCATATTTTCATTGGTCGTTCATACATAATTGATTTCACATTACACTGATATGTTATTTCAATAAACAATAAACTTTAAATAAGTAATTTAAATGAATAACAAGGATGGACAGTGTAAGGTATAATGAACCAAAGCTATCGGAAACAAAATTCTTTGGGAGGTGGGATCGTCGGCACTTTGCCATATTCAAACTCATCTCTGTCAAACTGCTTTATTTGTTCGACAGTTAAGTCTTCCATCTTCGAATAAAACTGTTGCATTAAATTATTGCAACCACCATAGGTAAACTCACTTTTTCCTAAATATACGCAGTCTAGACACTCCGACCTGAAATCAAGTTCCATGCATTGCCGTCACCATAACTTCCATTGAAAATATTCAACATTGATGATTGATGCTGGAAACTCTATCTAATCGATATGAATGAGAGCTCGTGCTTTATTAAATTCCTAAAAAGCTCATGTGTTTATAAAAAAATCTGTTTACTTTGTTTTGTTGAAGATTATTTCGGAATTCTTATTAGCTGGAAACAATTCTGCGCCTGATGCTCCTTCCGATGACTTTCGTTTGGAAATAAGATCTTTATCGCAAATGCTTTTATCTGTGCCATTTTGATCTTTTATCACCTTAATTTTCGCTTCTTCGCGTCCTTTAAGCAATGGTGAAACCCATTTGTAGCGGCTGAAGCAAAGAGGATAAGTTGAAAACTGAATGAGCTCAACTTTGGATCGATTTTCCCCCTTCTGATCTTGTTTAATATTCACACAAAAATTTGAAGAATGAATGCCAAAACTTTATGCACTGAAAATACCCACCTCTTATCAAAATATTGTGAGGATGACTGGAAATGCTCGTTAAATCCCTGATTTACAAGACCTGTCTGAAATAACATTTAAGCAAGAAATAAAGTATAAATTGCGAATCTATTATTGCTCACAATTATTTTTCCAATAACATCAAACTTTCTCTTGAAATTAGGTTTACGAAGTTAAGAACGAGAATAATGTACTTTTTTAAAGAAAGAATTCGAAACTTCACAGTAGTATTTGCTAATTGGAAATATTTGCTCAAATAAGTCGTCAGTGAAGTAGTGCAAAACTAAGGATTGGTAATCAAAGCTGATTAGGCGAGTGACAAATTAAGAAAATAAATCACTATATTATTTAAAAGTTACTGATGAAAGATTAGACAAGAAATGGTTAAAGTATAGGGACTTGGAAAAGGAATTGAAGAAATTACTGCCAAAAGCGTAAGATTAAGCATTGGACACAAATAATTTTAGAGGGAAAATCCAAAAAGCATTGAGCTCAATTATACTATTCATCAGAATGACTGATTTACCTGTCCAGTTGGATGTCTACGACGTTCCGGCTGTACATCAACATTCCTAATATCTGACTGCTGTAGGTCCATAATTTCGGGTTGTACGATATGTGCAAATGGACATGCTTCGCCATTGCGGCAATTACCTCGTGTAAAAAATTTACATCGGATTATTGGACGATGCATGATGGTTATTGTAAACTTCTGAAAAAAAAAGAAATTTCTGAGAAACGCAACATTTCATTGAAGCCAACAATAATAAAACTAGAAAACCGCACTGCATATACGCCTTAATGTCCTGTAACCTAGATTACATTAACAAATTAAAGTCCAGAAATGATATTATCAATCAATGAAGTCTTAAGACATATCAATTAAGTGAATCAATTACAAAATGAACTACTGATATGGCATGGGATAAGTAAACGGTAGCACTGAAATTGGTAGAAAACATGAAAAAATGAAAGTGAAGAATTGACCTGACCTATTATATAAGCAGAGATGAGATGTTGTGAAGGTCATAATCAATAATCCAAGGTAAGTCATACACGAGGTGGAGGAGGAATTGATCGCCGCTTATTTTAATTTTATAAATTAAAGTTCGGCTGCGTATAAACGTGCGGTGCGAATTTTGATGATTGATGTTTATTCGATCTGCCATGGAACGAAGTCATTTATCCCTATTGTCGATTTGTCTTACGGTGTCTTGTGTCGGTTCCGGTTGTCGTCCCATTTCGTGGTTTCCGTTCCGGTATTCTGGTTAATGTTATTTAGCTTGTTACTCAGTGACTTATTCAAGTGTATTTTCCGTGGACTAACTTCACTTCTGTCTAGAAATTTGCTGTTCAACAGATTGTTCACAGAAATTTATGTGGTCTTTCCAATTCACTGTTAATGTTGTGAACTTAGCAGAATCTCTTTTAACCGCGCATTTTGACAGTCTTTCTTTGTAAAGACAAATACGGTAGGATGGGAATGGATACGAGAGATTCTGTGCATGTGGGGGTTATTTTCCTGAAGGGACCCTTTGTTGATATTTTACAAATAGTGATAATTGTGCATTCTTGTATATTATATTTTTGCTCATGCTATACCATTATGCGGTTTGTTCTTATTGTACAAATCAAAATTGATGCGTTATAACTGAATTAAACAATTATAATTGCGTAAATGAAGAATCGAATTGGATAGAATTACAAATTGGTTCAGTTTAATGTAATGCATAATGTGATTACATTCTTCTGGGATCCTGTATCTTTTTTATTTTTATATCTTCTAGAGAAGTTTGTCAATTGACATTAGAACACGATGAAACGCCACGGTGGTGATGATGATTTAGGCTCGTCGGATAACTATGAAAGTGGAAAATCCGGCAAGCGACAACGCCCGGATAGTTATCAGGAAGCTCTGGCAGTTGGCAAATATGAATTAAGGCTATTAGTATCCAGTCGTGGGGCTGGTGGAATTATCGGCAAAGGTGGCGAAAATATCAAACGATTAAGATCGGAGGTTTGACTTTTTTTCGTACTTTTTAAAGAAAACATAACGTTATGTTAAATATGTCGGACGTATGCACGAAACGGACCTAAAGTTGTTGTTGTTGAAACGCTGGACATTTGTAGCATGTTTGATTTCGAGGAAACAGTTTCTTATGACTGATATTATAAATGCCAGATTAAAGTAAATAGTTTAACACTTTAATACATGAGCTGCCTCTGCAGATGTTTACTTAGCCATATCCAGTGTGTAGTTACACTGTCATCGAGATGTGTAGTGCACTGAGTAACCCTGTTGCTCTGTTAGTTGGACGGTCGCTATTCTTTTTTCGTAAGAACTGTAAAGTAATTCAAGTAATGCGTTCAAAAAGAAGTATCACTTCATTCATGTCATTGAAATGTTACATTCTTGAAAGATATTTCCCGAAAAATCAATACATCATGTATGATATAGTTGATTAATGCGCTCTTTTCAGCCCTAACTCCCAGTCACAATCCTGATATCCAATCCCGATGCCCGATCTCTTTCAAGTTCACCGACAACACACTGTTGTCGTTGGATGGTGCAATATGTATTTATGGATTATGAATTTAAGTGAAAGGCCAAGGCAAACACTGCTACCAAACACCAACTGCCTGTCTTTGTCCTAATTTCCATTTCAGTCCCACAGTTTTCAATTTTTCTTTTTTTCTCAAATTTAAAACTTCATCCTTTGCTTTGCAGTACGATGCGAATGTCACAGTCCCCGATAGCCAGACTCCTGAACGGTAATCCCTGCTCCCGTCTCTCAATTTTCTGTGTATTTTTCTTCTTTCCAATCTATTAAATGGGAACAAATTTCTTAGTTTATTCAGCTAACTCAAGACAGTCAATCACTTTTCAGTAATTGCTATTTCATAGGAACACTACTTTTTGCTTTTGGGTGAAATTGTTGTGAAACCCAGTAATAGCCTAACCATTAAGTAAATTAAATTAAATGTTGACATTTTGGGCCTTTCTTGGCTGGTCGATACTTGACTGCATCCGGCGTGCACAAGAAACGCAGTGCATTGAATATCCGGACAGACTGAGTATTTGTTTCTTTTCTAAATAAGATTGGGTTTCTGCTAGGAAGAATCTCCCAATATCTTTCCGCTAGTGAATATTTTGAGCAGTAAGGGAAGCTCTCATTTCCTCATATTGGTTAAATTTTTCTACGTCCCACTGAAAGATTTATTTTTGAACCACGGATCTAACGTTTTTCCAACCATGAATTAAATAATTTGATCAGATTTTTCTTTTTAAATAAAATGAAATTCAATTGTGAAGTTTTGAAATTCTCATTTCAGAATTGCTACCATTGTTGCAACAATTGAAAACGTACTCGCAATTGTTACCGAAATTATTCCGAAACTTGATGATGTTAGTTAATTTACTGTTATTTTTTTTCTTTTTTCAGTATTTCAGTGAAAAACGAACGAAAAATTAGAAAGCATGATACTACAATAAGGACGCATTAATGCTATAAATTTGTAATCTGGCTTTGATTCGTGTTTTATTGTGTTCAAGTATTTGGTATCACTGGAAAGGGAGCGTGTTTGCAGTTAAATCATACCAGATCACATACTGACCGCTTTTGATACCTATCAGTTATTCTTCTAGGAAAAACAAAGGATTGCTTATTGTCTTGCCAGAAAGCTATGTTTTTTATTCTATGGTTTATTCTTGGAAAAGCAAATAATTTGGAAAAAAAGAATTTAGGAGATTATTGCAGAGTCGAGAAGGTGATTCCAATCGTCCAATAGAGCTTCGTGTTTTGGTACATTCGTCACATGCTGGTGCCGTTATCGGACGTCAAGGATCGAAAATTAAGGAAATGAAGGAAGAACTTGGTGTGCAAATGAAGGTGATTTTAGCTTATTCCTCGTTCAGTGAAGGCATAAGCATTTTAAATGTCAGCTTTATAAATGCTATATATATATATGGCTTGAGTTACTGCTCATTTATTATCTTCAGAATTCATTCCTTGTTCATGGATCCTCATCTTTTGCCGTTATAACTGTTTCCAGCGTCTCATCATAGAATTAACCTTTCATAAATTAACTCTTGTTAGCAAACTTATTTATTTACCACTTATCCTGGAGCATTTCTTTCATCTTTTAGATATAAGTTAGCATGACTTTATTTTCTGTTTTTTTCCGTACTTTGTGTGAGTTATCATGCATCATAACAGGTATAATTCTAGGTATTTGCACAATGTCCACCTCAGTCTACAGAACGTGTTGTATCAATTAAAGGAGCCCCCGACAAAATAATAGCTTGTGTGAACCATATCATGAACATGCTTAAAGAGGTTTTGCCAATTTTATAGATATCAGTGACCCATTTGCTGGATCATCTTTGTCAATTTCATTCTTGGACTCAAATATGAAGTTTAATGCCTTAAACCGATCAAGCCTAAGTGTGCAAAAAGTATGCAAAAATACAAAGTTTTCGTAATTTACTGTAGAATTTCGGACGAAAATGATTTCAGATTCCAATCAAAGGAGTAACGAAGCCATATGAATCGATGTTTTATGATCCAAGCTATTCAGCTGAGTATGGTGGATATCCACCGGATCGTAACTATCGCGGTCCAATGATTCGTGGACCAATGGCGATGACTTCATACGGTAATTATGGCCGTAATTTTCCACGACAGATTGGCGGACGTGGTCCTTTATCAGCTGTTGCGTTACCACCATATATGGGCCCGGAAGAAAGCACTCAGGTTAAGATTAAGATATAAGGTTTTTATTCCAAATGCAGTTTTAGAGTGGTGTAATTCACTTCACTTCAAAAGCTTTTTGGAAGGAAAAAAGATTGTTTTAGGTGACGATACCAAATGAGCTCGGTGGTACCATAATTGGTAAGGGCGGTGAACGTATCAATAGAGTACGTGAAGAATCAGGAGCTCAGATCGTTGTGGGACCACAGCAGGAATCTGGCGAGCGTATCATAACGATTACTGGTACCTCAACAGCTATACAAACAGCCCAGTATTTGTTGCAGCAATGGTTAGTGTTAGTTTTAATAGGGTTGAAGAAACTTATATAGTTTGGCGTCATGAAACTAAGTTTAGGCTTCTATGTTCAAGCCAAAACTACTTGACTATATCCGAAAGTCATGATAAGAATAGTAATGTAATGAATTTCCTGTTACCGAGTTCATTATAAAACCCGAGTTGGTGTTGCTGCTAACTAACTGATCGGTCATGCCTATTTCAGTGTTCGCCAATCCGTTGCGGGACGAAGATATTTGAATGAAATATAACTGATGTGATGGAGAAAAGTTTATGAAACTTCGGTTTTTAATTTTGTGTTATGATTGTAAATCACTTGAGCGTGTTTTTTTTAGATTTAATTTTTTAAATAGCTTTTTTATTGTTGTCAGCTGAAATATGCGCTTTTATAGTAAAAAAAAAAGTTTGTTCCTTCCTTTGTTGTAATAAAAGCAGTACTTGTTATTGGGAAGTATATCTTCGAAGTATGCATATTTTGGCAGTATTTCATTTCTAAAAGGAGCTTATTAATTACAGGTATATAGAGTATAGCTTTCGAGTAGGAAGCCTACGGGTTTTCGGGGTGAGGCGATTCATTAATTGAAAGAACTGTGATTATAATTTTAATCCCAACCAAGTACGGAATGTTCACTCAAAAAGTTACACGTCAAGTGTTTGAATTTTTGGAATTTGAAGTTCTGGTACTGGAGTAAATAGTACTGATGGACTTCTCTTTTACTACTTTTACTACTGGGTCGATGGTTGGTTCAAAGGAAGAATTTCGTTAATTATAACAAGCAGACGGTTCAAATAATAGAATTTGTGCCATTTGTTCGGATTGCCCCCATAGTTCCGTATGTGCTGTTACTGTTCCAATCATGTTTCGGATTTGGAATTCTGCATCGACTTGGACTCCCATCCTCGGGAAAAATTCAAGTTCTTATGCTTGCTGGGATTTTGTTCCAGATAGGCAGGTTACAGTTTTTACCTAATTATTCACAAAGAGAAGTTGGGTTGCTAGTTTTATGCTTATTATCAGTTGTTGCACTTTAAACTTGCTGAAATTTGCTTTGAAATTCTATATACTAGTGCAGAAACTGTGATTGTACAAGTATTTGACTGGACAGTATTGATAATTGGGTCATTGTTTGTGGTGATTGAATCGAATTTTGCCTGGTATACCAAACCTTAAGATTTCCGGATGGATGGAAGATTTATGCGATTGCTGCCAATAGGATGTTACCAATTGAATTGCCGTTGCAACAAGATTCTTCATGTCGTCCTTTTACTTCCTTGTCCAGTCCAATAATGGATCTTAATTACAGCCATCAGAGGTGCAGTGTGTCAGTGTCTAGCTCAGTAATTAAAGCAATGGTATGGTCGGAAAGATTGGGAAGGATTTCCACGTTCTATCCAAAAACTAAACCTAATTGATTCGTTCTTATTACATCTATTTATGATATTCTCAACTCCTTAAAATTTTAATATGCCTTGAATTTTATCGTATCTTTTATTCGTTGGATAAATTTACCTGGTAGTTTTACTTCATTTCAGGTTTTAGCATGTCGACAGTTTTCGACGATCTCATCGAAGTAGTAAAGGCACATCCCATAATTTATGATATACGTATGGAGGGTTATCAAAAACGAGGTTCAAGACGTGAGAAAGCGTGGCAGTCTGTTGCAAAATGTATGCAACAACGAGGACATGACATTAACGGTAACTGTTGCTTTTATATCTAAAAAGAGAAAAGAAACTGTTGCTTTTATATCTAAAAAGAGAAAAGAAAAAGTGTTGATTGATCTAATTATTCGGTATGATTTGTTTACATGTTTAAACTAACGAATGACGTCGAAAGTGATACATGGTGGAATTAATGTGACAAATTTACATAGAGAATTTATATGATGTCATATAAATATAAGCACATGTCACTTCCGATATCATTGGTCGCCTTCAATTTGTTAATAAATAGGTTGAATATGTCTATCATACGACATTTAACAAAAAAATAATCGCATACTTTACAATAATCAGCGCTTGTAGATCCTTTTTTAAACTATTTTTGTGTGCTAAACTTGTCTGTTAGTAATAATATTTCAGATGATGGATGTCGTAGGAGATGGAATAAGTTGAAGTTTGCTTATACTCGGGACCGAACATTACGACGAATTCAAGGCACTCCTCCTTTGAGGAGTTCTTGCGCAAAATATTTCGATTCACTTGCATTTCTTAACCCATTTCTTGATGACTATAAAGCGTATCTTCTTTTCTCCCTTTTCTTTCTTTTTCTTTTTTCAAAATTTCTCAAGTTTTTTCTTTTTTTTGAATAATTGCCACAATAAGATTTCTAAACATCACTAAAATAACGGGCGAAATTTTTTTCTTCACTAAACCTTTAGAAGTTCTAGAAAAAATTATTTGGATAATCTTCGGTAACAAGGACTTCTGGTGTTGGACTAGGACGTTAGTATCATTCGAGGACAGAATAAATTTAATATACGATTTGTCGGTGAACTTGGGTTTAAGAAAAGTTCGTGTTCAAGGTTTAAAAGAAATCCGTAAACCTTGTAAACAAACTTATCGTGGATAACTCTGTAATACCAATCATTTGAGGACCAACCACTTTTTCACTAGTCCTAAATCATCACTTTACAAATAATTACCTTATCAGGCTTCTATTGCAATCAAAATTAAAGTTTGGAAAAATGATTTTTTCAGGCGTCCAAGAACAGTCCAACCAATAGTTTTGGATAGTGAATCAGACGATGATTCTGCGATTCATTCAGCAGTTCTCGAAAGCGAATCGGAAGATGATAACTCACCGAATAATAGGTAAAGCATGATTTCTTGCTTCATTGAAAGAAAATTGTTTCCTTTCACTTTACATTGACAATTTTATGCTTTATGTAAGCAAGCGTCAGTGTTTTTTTATAGGTCCCATTTATTGGCCATCAAAACAGAGGGAGATCGGTCTTTGGAAGTCAAAAATGACAAATGAATTCCTGCTGAAGCGAATATTTCATTTGATACCACTTGGGAATTCGAGTATTCAAGGATGTATTTTATTCAGTTATATCTTATTTTCAGGACAAAATCACTTTTAATAATTTCAAACAATAATTTTGTATATATTTTATTTTGATGTATAAGTATGCCTGCTATATATCCTTTGTTCTTTGCGAATTATCATTACCTTATAGGTTACCTTTATCTGTTGCTGCTAAAAAGGCTCTTTTAAAGAATCTAATGCTTTCATCATTTCTGGTGTATCACCTCATTATGTGATTATTGAGCGATTAAAACATGCCGGAATTTGAATTTTTTCTTCGTTGATCTTATCAATGTTTTTTAAGCACAGGATTGAATTGATTAGATAATTTAATAATTTCTTTGTGTCTATTACCATTTCTTTGTTTCCGCATTATAGAGAAAGCAACTGTGCTTATTAAAAAAAAATTATATTTTACGCCTAAAATCTAACCGAAATCGGTGGTCAATTTCTACTTTATTCATAGTACGAGTAAATCATTTGAACTTAATTCGTGATTGAAATATTTATAATATTTAGAATCCCTCTCATATTTTTTTTCCTGCAGAAATAACTGAATTCTATTAATTCGAATAGTATGTCATTATCCCTTAGTCGAGTGAATAATAAATAATGTCTTATTTAAAATTGAAATTTAATGCTAGAAAAGTAATCAGTATTGAAAATTCTTTTCGGACAGATACTTATGGATCAAAACGGATTTACAATTTTACTAGTGAATTTTGAAAATCGATTTAATTGCTGCTATTTGTTATTATGTTTCCAGTTGTGCCATTTCATCTTGCGTTATATCATTTACAGGGTTGAAAAAAAAAAACCGGACATAGAGATTAATCTCAACAATTTATCGAATAAAGTTATTACTCGTCTACTTCTTGATCCACTGCTTTAAAATACATGCGCAAATGTGCACAAAATTACTCTTCATCTTTCATCTCTTATGTAAAGAACCTAATTCTTCTTGATCTTTGAATCGTTCTACTAAGGGGAGATAATGATTGTCAATGTTATGCCACGTGTAATAATATTTTACATCAGACAATATAGGATTTAAAAGCATGCATATATGCCAAAACAGGGAGGCTTTGGAATCTTCACTTTATTCTGGAATATCCATTCTAACTGAATATTCCGGAAAAGATGAAGATTGGCATAAGTTCGCTAGATGTATCGATGCTGCATTCGTTATTCCTACAAGTACATTCCAAAAAATGGTAATGGTCGAGAAAGAGATAACGAATGGAAATATTGGAAGGATTATTTCTCATTTCTGAGAAAAAAGAATTTTGTCTTATTCGAAACAACTAAAAAATATTAAAATGAGAATGTTAACTCCGATAAAAATGAAACAAGTTAAGTGAGACCCGAAAACATATTATTGAAGTTTCTAAATCGATAATCATAGGGAAATATTCTTTGATCTCAATAACTTTATTTAAGGAAACAAATAAATTATATAAATAAGAAACCTATCTTATCTAATCAGATAACTCAAAAATAATGCAATGTTTGTCTTGCAAATAAATTAAACATACATATCATTTGTTCTTTAAGGTCATATTATTTGACCTCGAAATATAAAGACTTGAAGAAATATTTGAAGTAATTAAAATCCATAAAGAAATGCTGAATTTTTTCCAGATCTTTCTTTTTCGATTTTTTTGATCTTTGAAAAGTATGGGTAAATGATCTTTATTAATACAACAAATCGTCCTTTTATCTATCATCATTTATCTACGGGCAAACTGTAAGTTATTTTTACGGCTGCATAGGTATTTAATATTTATGAATATGTTTAAGAGATAGGATAAGTTAGTGTAAATTTATAAATCATCATTTCAAAGTAAAATTATCAATTGATGTAAAATGACATCCATGCCATAATTGATATTTTACATATAATTTTTATATTGATAAAGATTGAACTTTGAACTTTAAACTTCTTAGTAAATTATAAACTTAGAAACAAATCATCCGTCTTACTCTACTCTATCTCAGGATTTCCATGGATGAACAGTCAACAAGTTATAATGATAGTAATACTACTACTACCACTACTAATGCACTTTATGCTGTTACTAATGTAAGGCCAAAGATTCGTCAATGGTCATTAGATGATTTCGAAATTGGCCGACCATTGGGTAGGGGTAGATTTGGAAAGGTATATTTGGCTCGAGAAAAGGAATCTAAATTTGTGGTTGCCATTAAAGTTGTATACAAATCAGATTTGGTGGAAAGCAATTTGAAGCGCCAATTACAGCGTGAAATTGAAATTCAATACCATTTAAGGTAGATATTTTAAGCTAACATTAAAATTTCAAAATATTTAACAAAGTGTTTGTAATACATTACTGTCACATTGTCAGTATTATCAATTTTACCCGAACAATATCGGGAAGAAATGAGAATATACAAAAATACCGTTGATACGGGTAAACATATAAACATGATATTAACGAATATATAGATGACAATATTCCCTTTTATCTTCAATTATAAATGTCGGAATTGAACAAATTTCTAAATTTAATTTTAGACATCCAAATATTCTTCGCTTATATGGTTATTTCCATGATGATGATCGTGTTTATTTAGTGTTAGAATTTGCGCCCAAAGGAAATCTCTTTCAACATCTTCAAGTGGTATCAATGGACTATTTGAAGTTCAAACTTATTCTTTTTCACATTTTCTTGACATTTTGAAATTTAGAATTTATTAAATTGTTTCGTAGTTGTTTTAAAATTAATAATATCATACAAAATTCATTTTTGTTTGTTTGTTGGTTTTTTCCAAAAAATCCATTCAGATGAAAACATTTCCACCTGAATTAGCTGCTAAATATATGTATCAATTGGCATCAGCAATGGAATATTGCCAACAAAAGAAAGTGCTACATCGAGATTTGAAACCTGAAAATGTTTTAATTAGTGCAAAAAATAATTTGAAAATATCAGATTTTGGATGGTCAGTACATGAACCTTCATCAAGGTATCGTATAAATGTGTATCATTTGTTTCTTTTTATACTCTCAAATATTATTATATGTAATTAACCGTACCTGGTGATTATGATTAATCTTATCAATATTTGGGTTTTTAGTTATTATAATCTTCCTCAATTCTTAGCTTTCAGATGAAGTAATTTATTTTTTTTTAAGAAATACTTTTTCTTTGTGGAAAAATTTGCCAATAAAAAAATTTATTCCATTCATTCATTTACCTTAAAAGAAAAATGTCTTTTGCATTTTAACTAATTCAATTTGCATCCATTACCTCATATATAAAATTGTCACATTTGATGAAATCATTTAAAAATATTTCTCCATCTTTTTCCCTCCTTTTTTTTGTTTATTTAGACGAAATACTGTTTGTGGTACATTGGATTATTTGGCACCAGAAATGGTTCCTGAAAAAACTCATGATTCTAAAGTTGATAACTGGTCGTTAGGTGTTATGCTCTATGAATTCTTAGTTGGTAAACCTGCATTTGAAGCTAAGGTAAGGTGAAATACTTGATTCTATCCTACCATTATAATATATGTATCTGGAATTAGTATATAGCATGTTGAATTATATTTAGATGCTATTAATAAGTTTAATTAACAAATTATAATTTAGGAGAGATTAGAATGATCACAGATATTATGATTTCCAGATATTAGAATTCATATGACATTAAAAAGCGTATGAATTTTCCATTAGTTAAATCATATTCATATACATTGTATTATGTTATGTAATGTTTCAGACAGTAGAACTTACTCTGAACAATATTCAGAATTGTAGGTATACTATACCAGATAATGTACCAAATGGAGCAAAAGATCTTATATCACGTGTTCGTTTTAATTTTTGATCTTTGTATTAAATTGCATAAATGAATATTTCAATGTTAGTTTGATAAATTGATGGTTGAAAAATGGTGTGAATTTAAAATACTAAAATGATGAATTTTTATTTAAATCTTAATATATTCCATCTTTGTTTAAAGCAAAATGAAAAAAAAAGAGAAAAAGATGGTAAAGATTGAATAAAAGTAAGTTAAGCATTTAACAAAATAATGAAATACATTAAAAAAAGAAATGAGAAAAAAGCGATTGAATCCATCTGAATCGATTGAATCATTCAGAATCATTCATTTTATATCAATAACAATGATCTGTTATCGATGTAAAATGATTCTTAATAATTCTGCTACAATAATAACTTTCAGCCAATGATCCGCGAATATCAAAATTTACACCAAAGACTATTGAAAATTAATGTTTCTTTTTTTTACATTATAAAATGTCATTCCATTTTTAACTAAAGAATTAAAAGATTAAAGTTCACTTTGAAATTAACGGAATTTGTTATTTTTAAACCTTATAATCCATGCCTATAAATAAAAAAGCTAAAGTGATCTGTGGTCGAGAAAAGATTGGGAAGCACTAAGCAATTATAACTATTCTATGTTTTCTTTTTTGATTAAGGATTTTTTTTTTTAATATTTAGTTCAATTTTTAGCTTCTTCAAAAAGATCCTACACAACGTTTACCGTTATCAGACGTCTTGAAGCACTCATGGATTCAAGAAATGATTGCAAAAGATAGCAGTTAAAAATGAATAGGAATTGGAATAGATGGAACTTTTCGATCGAAAATAAGCAAAAACTGTTGTTTATTACATTAACTGTTGCTTCTTGCCATGCTTTATGAAATTAGCTGGAAATGGAATACTTGAAAACAAATACTAGAATTGAAATATATAAAAATGGTTCGATGCTAATAAATTATCCTGATTTCTCACATCTACTCAGAATATGATATTAGGAAAATACATTTTCTATAATTGGAATTGCAAAAATGTCAGATACTTTTCTGAATTAAAAAAAAGTATCGAAAAGTTTTATGATTGTAATAATCTTTTATTTGGAATTTTTTTTTTAAATTTAGATATTTCTTTTTTTTCCTTGGACTACAAATATGTGCACATCTTAAATCATACATAGGATTAAGAGTAAACTAAAAATAAAAACAAAATAATTCGTTTTATTATATTCAGGTTAAAATGATGGAAATGGAAAAAATTGATAATAAAAAAGGGCTATTTTCAGTTTTAATTCAATTCCATTTAGGAAAAAAATCAGCACTTTATCAAATTTAGCATTGGAATAATTCTAGTTCAAATAATTATTTTAGTTTTATATTATCCTTATTTTAGTCTATTAAATGTGCATTGTTTTTGTATAATTGAGGAATAGAAAAAATTTCGCAAATTTGTTTCCCTTTAATTTTTTTTTTTTTTGTATTTATTACAAAATGATTATTGTACATTATGAAATCTGAAAGTATGCTGTGGATATTAGTTAGCTTTAAATTGTATGGAATGGATGGTTATTTTAGGATTATTTTATAAAATCAATTTTCTTACAATTTGATCATTCAACTATAAAATTTTGAAATGATTGATGATAATTTTGAAATTTGCTATTTATGAGCTATAAAATAATGTAAAATCTTTGTGTATTAAAAATTTAAAATAAAAAGAGGAAAGGAAATCAGATTAAAATGAAAGTTTGTGAAATTTCAAGATAATACTTTACGATTGTTTTTTTCTTTTGAAACTATAATATCTATGATGTTTTAATAATATTAGTTAGAATGATAATGATAATATTTTGTTATTTTAATATATTTCAGTCCTTAAGTAATAATTTAGCTTCAATGCTAACAATACTATAAATAATAATATACTATAAACACACTATAAACAATACTACAAATATAATACTATAAACAACAATACTGTAAACAATACTATAAATACGAAAAAAAGAAATTTACATGTTTAATGAGTTTTTTTCTCAATAAATTGATTATGATAACAAGATAATTATTTAAAAGTCTATTATTTTTGATAAGATAAAATGCTTCTTAATTATCATTTCTTTTTTCTTTTTCTGTTTCCTTTCGTACAACTGAAAGTTTCCTTTTTATCTCTAACATATATAAGTTCAATTTTCTTTCTTTTTTCCAAGAAAACAAAAGAAAGAAAAGAAACGACACTGTGTCATTACTCATTCTCATCATTTCAATTCATTTCATTTCATTTCATTCATCTAACCTTTCATCCATCCATTCATTCATTCATTCATTCGTTTATTCCTTTATTTCTTCTTTCCTTTCTTTGTTGTATCGCTATGAGAAAAATTAAACCTAGACAAATTATTTCCGCTCAATTTTCTGTTTCCTTCATTTGTATTGTATCATTTTTGGGAAGAAAAGAAGGGAGAAAGAGAAGAACAGAAAGAGAGAGAGAGAGAGAGAGAAAGAATTGTTGTAGAAAGAAAAATAGGAAAAAAAAAGAATGAATCTTTTCTTTTCTACACCTACAAAAAAATTTTTCATTTTCTTTTTTTTTAAAATTTTTTGTAATGGTTGAATTTTTTTTTCTAGAAAAAAAAGGAAAAGAAAACGATATTGATATGTTAGTATTATTCCTCTCTACCGTATCTAATTGGCCTTCTCATTTCCAAGGTTTTCTTACCTTCCTTTTTTTCTCCAGTCTTAAGGCCTTTCTTTGATCTTTTTATGACAACGATTCAATTATCAAATGATGATGACATTGATGATGATGATGACAATGATGATGATGAAAATAGCAATATGAAAGGATGATGGTATAATGAGATGATAAGTTCAAAGAATTTTATTATTGTTAAAAATGAAATAATTATGTATCCATCGATGATGAATGATGGAAATATTCGGAACTTTGAAAGGAATTCTTAAAACTGATACCGAAAAGAAAATTTTTTTTAATAATTTAGAAATGAAACAATTTGATAGATAATTAACAACAAATACATTCGTTGTCATAATGATAATTGGATCATTAGATGGGAAAAATATATAGTGATATGATAATATGGTGATAATCTCCAAATTCTTTTTTTTACTTTCCAAATTTAAATTTGCTTTGTTCAATTATTACCAAGCAAAAGGAAGAATTATTAATTTTAATAGTTAATTTCAAATGCAATTCAATGTTTTAAACTTTTTTTCATTAAATAGATCAAAATTTCTGAAAAAAAAGAAATGCATATAACGGAGATTCGATGTTTTAATATTACAATTCTTATATCTAATTTAATGCTTAAATATCAATAAATTAGTAACAGATACGTTTGAGTATAATACGTGAACGTTTAACGTGATCGTACGAGCTTATTGCTTATATTATGATTTGATGAATAGAATGCTAATTTGTATTTGATAATCGCAACATATCTCAAGAAATAATTTTAATTGAAATTTCAGAAAAAAACCATAATTTTTACCAAAATTTATTTGTATTTATAGTAGTTTTGGTAAATTTACCATTTTTGAAACCATTCATCGTCATATAATTGAGATATCCTAATTGAATTAAAATTAATTAATTTCATATATGAGTTAATCAATCCAAATTGTTTTGGCTGATAAACTTTCATGTTTTCTATATTCAGATTTATTTCAACCGAATAACTGAATCAGTTCGGAAAGCAATCATTTCTCTAATTTTTCTTTTCGTGATTTTTCATGAAATGAACATTTGTTCATTCATAATTTAGTGCTGTCAATTTCATTTCCAAATTTCCGGATTAGATATCCGGTTACATATGGAAAAATGGCTTCCCAATATAAGTAGTTAAAATTGTCATTAAAAAAAATAATTTCCTTTTTTCCTTACTTTTTTTTTTCCTTACCATTTCCTGCTTTTCTTTCACGGCGGTTAGTGTTTAAACATTCTTCATACAATAAGACACCAGAAGTATTCGTCATACAATACGGTTCGGAAATATTTTCCCACAACATTTAATCAATCATTTATAAAATTAACTTCCTTCAGTTTTTACTTTATTATTGTAAGCGTAATTTATTCAACTGTTCTGTTTTTGAATACGAACAGATATTATTGTTAAAGAGTAATTTATTTTAAGTTAGTATCTTTAAAATGATTAAAATAATTTTCTGGCCATAAGTAATTGTTCGGAACACTGACTTATCCTAGTCAATTATTTGAATTCAGTGGATATTCTCCATTCTTATTGGCTATCCAAGTTTTCACTATACTTTACCTATCAAACTGCTAATGAACTTACGTTGATTAAAAGAAATTTTGATAAAATCGAATAATCAAATATATAAGTAAGATTAAAATACGAGTGAATTGGATATAATTGTATAGTACTTGAAAATTAATCAAAATTCCCAAATTTATGTGTGGAAATGGAATTATATAATTTGAAATAGTTAAAAATACAAATTAATCTTAGCAAAGCTAATAATTATATCGAATTAAGAGCGACATTAATAACTTTTACTTTTAGTTCGATAAAATTTATCGGGCTAAAAGTAAAGTTAATAATTATACTAAACTGAAAATGAAATTAATGCTTGTACTAAACTAAAAGTTTAAATTAATAATTGTATCAAATTAAAAGACTACGGAATATTTCACATTATTTATTATCACCCTCAAAATTTATATCATTATAGTCGGAATCATTACTCTTTTACACTCAATCAAGTAATTTATTTCCTTTTTTCATATCTCTCATTTACATAATTAATCTATTCTTCTGGAATTTTTCAATAGCGGAAAATGTTTAATTGACAATTTACTCAATAAGACCATTTAATCGACTAATTCATTCTGTTTTTTTTCTTTTTTTTGAATATTTATTTTCCTTTCTTGCTGCTGCTAAAATTTCTTTTTTTCCCTGTTTTTAAAATTTCTTTCCATTTCTTATTCCCTTTTAAAAATTTATGCAAAAATTTATGAAATCAAAATAAGGAAGGACAGAATGGAATAACATGGAATGAATTATTGTTTACATGAAATTATGGTAAGAATGGCTTTTGGCCTTAGTCAATTAGATATTTAGCAGCAACATGTGATGTTGATTATAGTATTCTCAGTAATCGTATTACCATTCTCAATTTAATTCTGTCCACTTGTCAACTGCTTCTTCCAATCATTACAAACCAGTTGTTGGCTGTTATTTCAAGTGTCATTTACTTACAATTCCTTTTTCAGTAATTATTATTTGCTGAAAATCACAAATTACTATGTCCTCTTCAAGCAAAACCATTGAAAAATAAATAAAATTGTGATGCCAAAATTTCCATAATTTAAAAGAGGAAGAATAAAACAAAGTTTAAAGATTACTTTATGATAATTGTTTAGTGTCCACTTAAGGTTATATTTACCTGGATGGTGTCATTTGTATACATTATATTTAATATTTCAAGTTTTACTTATACATACTTTTTTTAAATATTTGTTTATACCTTTGCATTTTGTTTGCAATTTATCAAACTGGAAGATAATTTGTAGGATGATTTATGCTAAAATATCAATTGATAATACCATACGAGTAAAAAAAAGAAAATGCACAAAAAATTACGATTGCAAAAAGTATGATGTTGAATTGATGATATCCATTGATGAAAGGGATGATTGACCTTATCTCAACAGATCTTTATGCTATCATAAATTTTTACAACACCTTGGGAAATGAGAAATTTTGTAAAATCAAAGGTGAAAATGCTAATTATTTAGCCTTTTCCCAT